CAATGTTGTGCGTATCATGAGGGCGAAATCACAAGTTGGGCATTGTAAGGAGGATCTCCTTTCTAAGAATCCAACGGTTTCTTTGCAAGAGTTGTATGGAGGCCCAGGGTCTGACAACGCATGTCTTCCAAAACTTTGTAATGCAAGACGCCATCCGTTTCTGACGTCTTGGAGTTGCTGCAGTACGGCGCTGTCGTACGCGCATGATTTAACATGCCGCCCCGTATATTATCAGTACCAGCTTTTTTTTTCGAGATGAAAACGCAAATCGAAAATCACATCATTAGTTGCACCTTGTAAACTTCCGGAGCGCATGAACAAAAAACACACCAATCTTGCTGCTCCTTGTAGTCCCAGATGATGAGCACGGGAAAGAGCTTACCGTGAGTACTTTCAAAGACGCTACCTTCTTAGCAAGAGAACGCCATCCCGTTCTGTGTCAGGGCGCGGACCCAAATGTGAGCCAAGCCACTGCAATCTCACCGATCACGCTGCCCTTATGCAGCTCGTTGACCTTCTTGGACCTTCCCTGGCGTTCAGGCTGGGTTCCCATTTCTGTCTTGGGATTGACGATCCTGATACAGGGACTGCAGGAGGACGGCACAGAGATTTTCAAGCCAACTGCAGCACATGTGCTAAAACAACAAGAAACAGCATAGGAGCACCAGAATTATGCCGCGTTCCCATTTTCTGTCACTGCATCAACAAAGGAGTCTCTCAAAAGCTACCACACCTTGATATTCCTGAAGGAATACCGCTTCAGTCTGCTCTTAACCCTGGTGCAGCACACAGTTCAGCTTGAAAAGGTCTCCTGCACCTGGTGAAGCGCCTATACTGCAAACGGATACGCAACCATTTGTCCCTTGGCTAACCCATCTGTTCAACGGCATCTGCAAGCAGCAGAAACATGGACCTTGTCAAAACTGTCTTCTCTCTTTCGTTGAGCATTCCGCATGCTGTTGTGCTCACTGTTCCCTTCCGTTTTCCTTTTCCGTTCCATTCCGTGTTCCGCTCGTTTCTGTGAGTTCCTTGGCCTTTTTGCTCCCTATGGCCCTATGACGCCTCACCCTGTGTGGAACTCTCCTGCACGAACCTCCGCCCAGAGCAAACCAAAGACAAATGCATTGAATGGTAACCGCAACGCATTACCCATCTTGTGCGAATGGTCTTGTTAGCTGGCTTGCTTAGCTTTGGCTGAATGGAAATGTGCGTCTGGATTTCCTGCACTTCAGCCTGGTCTCAGGCAGTTGCGCAGGAGCACAAATAGCATTGTAGAGCTTTGCATCCAGACTTCAAGTAGCTCTAAAGTCGACTGCAATCATCCTGACATTTAGAACACCCAAGCTAAGCATGAAGCCACCTCTACGACATTCCTGCTATCCGTCCGCCATCGTCCGCCCTTCTTTCCAAACCCTCAACTCTGAACTAAGCAGGACTCCAGACATCTGGGTTTCTGGCGTCAACCGTCACCAACACATTCAAGGTGCCCTGTGAGCGCCACAGCTTAAAATTACAACCCGCTGCATGGTGGCGGCTCCGCACTGTAAACAAGAGGCTGAACAGTTGAGCTGGTAACTCCTACAAGATGATTGTCACGAGCTTCTGCAGTCTGTGGCTATTTACTGCTTCAGGAGACTTCCTGAGCATACTCACCTGAAGTATGTTCCTGCCATGAAAGCTAGCTCTAGCTGCAAGAAAGCCCAGAAAACAGGCAGCACAACAATTCGTGTCAGGTTCATCCGATGGCAACTAGGCATGTTCACGCATAGCGGGCAGCTTTATACAAAAATTGACAAGAACCCATTGGGTGAACATGCTCTACGGGCATGACAGCAGCAAGGGTGGACATCCTCAATACTGGACTACGATCGCAAAACTGCAAGCCTGCGAGCCTCATTGTCTACAGCAAGGTGACATGGACGTATAGAATGCAAACAAGAAGTGTGAAATGAACCCACTCAGTGGGGACCAGCATGGCCTGGATGAGTACGAACATGGTGTCCCCCTTCTCGCCCTCCTTGCAGAGATCCTCCCCTTCCATGAAGAGGCGGTCCTGGCTTCGGGTCTCAGCAAGGCCTACCGTCTCCGGGTTAGGGAGTTGTGGGTAAGGGGCCTAGGGCCTTGGACCTTGAAGGAAGGGTCTGTGGGCCTGGGAGCTAAGGGAAGCTGAGGCTGTGGGTTGGATAAACATGTAGATCAGGGTAAGAAGGCTTTCGTGCTTCATGTTCGGCTGCATCTGTCTCTTGTAAAGATTTGTATTCCTGTATCACAGTTCAGCGGAAATATGTGTGAATAAGGCATTCATGTCTTGCCTTTTTTCTGCATAACCTTGCACCTCGATCTCTAAACCCTGAAACCCTGCGGCAGTCACCTCCAAGTGCTCCGAGATGCGGTCCAAGAACTTCCTGCCGGCATGGTTTGGATTTGAGGGTTTAAGGCTTAGGTCTTGCATGCTTCTACAAGGTTAAGGATTTTTTAGGATTCAGGGTTCATAACGCGTTTAGGGTTGATAAAGGGTTGAGGGTTTAGGGATGTCTCAACCCTTCCCCGCCTCCTTGGCCTGCATGCATAGGTATGGAAACCCTCTAGCTTGCACGTCTTAGACCCCATAGGATTCTATGAGACTTGGCCTAGATTCCTGTTTTCTTGAGATGGGGGAAATATTATCGCGACCTCTCTTATAATAGGAACTACACTATAGGGACGTGTGTAGTCATGGATTTAGGGAACTCCCCCATGTAGACACTGTACCCTAGAAACTAGAATAAGCCCCCGTATGAGAACCCCACAGAGTCCCATAATATTAAACATTCCCATATATTCTAGTAGACCATAATGGTAATACTGCAATGTACTGGAGGTTTAGTGGGTTCTAGTACTAGGGGAGGCATAGAGCGCACCAGTGCCTCAGAAGGCTACCGGAGTCCCAGGCGAGGTCTGGTCTCCCCCCGCAATTCCAATAATAGTGAGAACCAAAATGAATGTAATAGTAGTAAGAGTAGTAGATGGACACAAACATAGCAATAATAGGAGTAAGGATAATCAGTTGATGGTAAGAGCAATGATAAGAGTAATAGTAATCAGTTGATGGTAAGAGCAGTAAGGTCTTCATCAGTAAGGTCTTCATCACGCGGGCATGCCAGGACACTCAACTTGAAGCCATTGCTACCTCGGACTGTCTTGCCACGCCCCGGCTTGTTTACACTGATCTGTAAAGCCGTATCCTTTGTGTTAGGCCTTCGGTTGACATGGTTGCAATCGATCTTAACTGCATTTGAAAGTGTATTGGGTTCTACAGCAGCCTGTTGGCGCGCCGGACAGCTTTGATTTTTTGACAAACAATTGCCTGAAGCAGGCGAAACCCTCATTTGTGACTCCTGCACCCTGACATTGGGACCATGCCATACACCCTCAACGCCGCTAAATCCCCCACCCCCTAATTAATATTGCATCTTCCCATCGTGTCATGTTAGATTTTAGGAATGCGTAACCTCTACGCTTGACCCTACGACTGAGATCCCCCAGCCTGCTGCTCTGCTGAAAGAGGGGGCAATTGAGCAGCACGTGCTTCTCGGACGCACGCTCCACGTCACTGGCAAGGCATTTTGCTCTTGGTGGCTACCGAGTAACTCTCCAGTATAGGAGTATAGGTGTAACAGCGACCATGAGGCCCTGAAAAATGACGACTGGTACTAGCCAGGATGACACCTATTCTGTAAATCTCCGTGAACGAAAGCAAAAACATCCAGGACACGCATTATGCAGACATTTACTATGGGCATGGTAGATGTAAGAATACTGAATTGCATTGCCTCCGCATCCTCATCGTCGCCACTTTACGCAATGGATCCTGAGTCATGAATCCGGTGTGCGTCTTTGCGAGAGGTTGGAGCATAAGGTCTTCCTTAGTCCTAACTCTCACGCCCCTGATCCTGGATAAACCCGAGCTGTCTAAGTACATGACCATCTGATCGGGGTGCAGAAGAAACCTCAGCAAAGCTCAGTGACCAACAGATCGCTCTTGAAAGACAGAATGCTGTCACCCGCATCACGAACAGTTCACTCATCTGTTCAGCGCCGCGGTAGGCCCCTATGACACATTCAGAATGAGGCAATCGCAATGGCAGTTGCAGAAAATGTTAGCAGTAGTGCTCTTATGAACATCTCGGCGGGCATGATTATCCGTGCTGCGCAAGTCAGCAAAGTAGTCAACATCTGGGGCTCATGCACCTGCTGCAGCGCGGCCTTTGAAGCAAGGGGCTTGCAGCCCCTCTGAGTTTACACACCAACAGCTGGGAGTCTGCTTCCCAAAAGCTTTGGGTCTCTGAACTCAAATCCTAGGTCCTAAAAAAGAGGGTTTCTGACAAAGCAGGCTGAGCCTAGCACCTTTGCGAGGACGTACACGTCACAAATGTCCTTGCGAGCAACTTCCACTTAGCCTTGGTTTGAATACAGGCATGGACACTCCTGCTTCACCAAAACACAGCCATGGCTTTCAATAGGAAGCAGAATGGCAATTGTGCCAATAAGAGTGGCAATAATCACCACGATTAAACTTGACTTTTTTGGCCCCAGCTGCCTAGTGCAGCTGGTACGTACAGCGCGCACTAATGCTGGTGCAGCGGGTCCTTGCACCGCGCAGTCGCCGTTCGAGTTGGAGTGATTCCTCAACTATCCGGCAGCCATAAGTTCGGCAGCTGTTGGCCGACACGATGTTTCACAGGTTGAACTGTCTCAACCATGACTTTGTGTATGGATCAAAGGTTTGAAGATCAAGCGCTTCGGACTGTCATGACCTGCACGTGAATGTCACCAAGCCTGAAGGAAGGAGTTGTTGCTGTCTTAGGCTTCGACCCAATGCTCCAAGCTCACCAAGGATGTCGCCGGCTCCTTTGCGGGCTTTTTTATTCCATGTCCTACAATCTTCATGACAGAGGCCAACATCATCAGCAACATCGCGTCAGCAGGGATTTCCCGTATTCCATACCCCTCGCCCAAAATCAAGGGCCTGTCAAAATCATCCCGCCTAGCTCCCGGATCACACGGTCGTCGTGACGAACCTCCACGGAGCCGGTAGAGATCCTGGCTACAGTCAACAGTCAGAAGCGTATGTCAAAAGTGTGAACAGCAAGGTAAACGCTCTAGAGCCAACCTTCCTGAAAACAAATTCGATAAAGTGACCATGGTTTAGGACTTGGCGTTCAAAATTTGAGCTTCTTCTGGGCCTGCAGAGTCCGAATCCAATCCAAACTGCATTAGACAGCGAACTGGTGCGCCATGTAGGGTTTACTGGGGTAGATTAAGGGCCTGAAAACTATAATCCTTATGTGTCATAAAAGACTATGTAGGGAGTATTGTCCCAAATAAGTCAAGGTTATTGAACTTCAAGGACATGCAGGAAAGGCATGATCAAGCTGTCTCCAGGGGTGCCCTGCACCATGATCTCATCGCCACGAAAGAAGATCTTGGCATGGCAGCTGAACCGAGAATGTCGAGTACAAAAAAACTCAAGGAAGATGTACTTCCTAACATGTGGCGCGGGGATCCTCAAATAGAAGGATCTCTGTTACACCTTGACAGGTCACTACTCACATTTTCTCTCCTGACTGGTCTGATCAGGGCAAAAAACAGCTTCTACCGTAGACCCTACCCCCTGCGCCTTTAAGAGCAGCACCGAAAGATGGCCAGTTTGGAGCCCTGATTTGAAAGCATGCTTTCCTGACAATCCTTGCCTGGACCACCTGCCTACATATTGAGACTGTCGCAAATTTGTAAACAACAAGATGTCAGTTGGAAATTGTTGGAAGACACGGGCTCCCAAGACAGCCCACAAAGGTATTCTGATTCAATGGTAAGAGTGTCTATTTTTTTGTTGTCTGGTCTTTTTTGTTGTTTGGGCTTTTCGGGTGTTTTTGTTTTTGCTGTTTGGGCGGGGGCGTATTTTT